TTGGGGAAGATTTTTAAAATTATTGTTTACATTCTTTGCCCCCTTTTTATTAAATATCATTAAATTATTTATAGAGCAGAGTAAACACGATGGACCTTCTTGATCTCTTGTCCAAGATAAATACACACTAGTTCTACGCTTTGATTATATTCGAGCATACTAATTATAACAGAAAAAAATAAAAAAAGTTAATTTTGTCAAAATACAAAATTTTGTTTTTAATTATATCCATTCAAGGTGCTTTTTACTCTTAGGTATTGTGTCATGGGGTCGAGGATGTGCTCGGCCGAATTTGCCGGGCATTTACACGAAAATTACAAACTATTTACCATGGATCGAAGCACGAATTGGCGGTGAGTGCACTTGCCCTAGAAAACAAGCCTAATAAATTAAAATTTTAAAAATAAAAGCGAAATCAAAGAATTCATTGTTCAAGCTTACCGATAATTCTATCGATCTTATATAATTTTATAACTTATATGAGAAATTTATTTTATTGTTTACAAATTTATATAAGATTTTATTATATATTTATGTATAGTGCAAATGTGCATAGTACGCTACTAGGTTATAAAAACGCTCTTTATAAGAGCTTTTTATATATGTTCTACTTTGAGTAGAAGTATTTTTAATCCATATCATTCATACATGTTAAACATAATTCTCTGTGAGAATAGAATTTGTATTCCTTTCAATACACTCTAGTCAATATATAAACAAATAATTAACTAAATGCGTAATTGTAACGATGATACCCGTACGATACGGGAAACTGTAATTGTAATTGTAACTGTAATGTGTTATTTGTTATCAAACTTATCGTTAATAAGTTATTATGTATGAATTTAACTTAAATATTTAAATATATGATTTATAAAATAATATGCTTGTTTTTTTTTTTCAAAAGATCGTGTAAACGCAGTGTGTAATACAAATAATAAAACAATGTTCAATGTATATTTACAAAATTCTTCTAATCACTTTATATGCTGAATGTTCTCGTTTTACAGTCAGTAAACAAAAGCTTTTGAATTGAAAGACAATTAATTGTTTTTCAATAACAATTGTTTGAAACAATTGGTTTAAAAATAAACTATTAATAACAATAATTTACCGGTACGGTCTTTCTCAAATCATATATTCGCCAAACAATTAGAGTTTCAGTGTATTGTAATGAAAAACCTAAATAACAACTAGTGGGGCGCATGGTATCGTGCCTTAAAGCAAATTGCTGGAAGCAAAAATTATTTTTTTTAAAAAGATTTACATTTTTGAAAAAAATTTACTCTGAAAAAATTAGATTTTTGGTAAACTATAAATTTTTGACAAACTTACTTTTTTTAAAATAAAAGACTTTTTGAAGAAAAATTTATTTTGAAATATTTTGGAAATTTTGATTTTTTTAAAAGCAATCGTACTGCTTTAACTGCATGGAGACAAATATAGAAGCGCGTAAGCGCCGCGTCGCCGTCTAACAGATAAACACTGGTACGGAACCCATAGGAATGTAAACAAAATTTATACTTATTGTTAAAATCTCTATAAAATATCTGATAATTTGATGTGCATATGTCCCATGATCATTTTTGACCGCCAAATGGCATTTTTTTTACTTTTTTTTACTAGATCTCCGAAACCGCTAGATCTACCTTTATGAAAGGTAGGTCTGAACTTTTTGGCATACCTTAGAAAAAATGGATGTATGTGTGTGTATGTGTGTGTGTGTTCGGATACAAATTTTCGTCGACGATTTCGGGAACACGGATGAAGCAAATTGAATAATTCAAAAAACATTCGATTTGTCTTGATGAGGAGACGTGCTGATTAGTTTTTGTCAAAGGCAGGTCTAGCCGTTCCGAAGATATGGGGCAAAAAGTGCCAAAAACGGTAACTCAGTCAAGAGAACGGAGCGTCCGATTTGAATAATTCAAAAACATTTTACTTGTATTAACAAGATGAAGAACTGATTAAATTTTTGGGAAGGCAGGTCCAGCAGTTATAGACTCTCAATAAAAATAAATTAAAAAAATATCATTTGGCGGACAAAAATGTTTATTGGATATACGTATGTACATCAAATTATCGGATATTTTATAGAGATTTTAATAATGTGAACACATTTTGTGTAATTTTTTTTGGGTTCCGTACCAAGTTTCTCAATTACGGTACGGGAAGTTCCAGCAATTTGCCTTAAGGCACGATTCCATGCACCCCACTAGTAAAAATTTATCAAGAGTTGGAATAATGAGACGCGCGTATTGTACTAACCATTAACGTTGACGTCCGCATTTAAATAAAATAGATTTTTCAAATAGGAAGTGAATTAAAATGTGTTAAATAAATGAATTCAATTTATACAATTATAAATATTATTCAGGACATTAACAGAACATTGTATTGATTGGTTTTTAGTGAAAGCGAAAACTCTATTTTTAAAATAAACGGTTGAAAAATGTATCTAAATTCAAATTCCAAATTATTATTAATTATGGCGGTTATTTACACGTATCGGGAAGTAAAGCAACATGCCTTAAGAGTGCAACTTACAACTAGTTCAAGTACAATGAATTCGGTCGATTTAAATATTTTCTTTTTTTAAGAGAATTGAAATTCGAGCTTCTGTTCGACAAAGAAAGTTTTAACTTCCCGTAGGGTAAGTTATAGTAATCGCAAAAAAATCGAAAATGCAAATTTTTATATATCTTTACGTTTCAGAGGGTTCTGAATATTTTGGCATACCTTAGAAAAAATGGATGTATGTGTGTGTGTGTGTGTGTGTGCGTAGTATGTATGTGTGTGCGGATACAAATTTTCGTCGACGATTTCGGGAACACGGATGAAGCAATTTGAATAATTTAAAAAACATTCGATCCGTATTGATAAGGAGACGTGCTGATTAGTTTTTGGCGGAGGTAGGTCTAGCCGTTCCGAAGATATGGGGCAAAAAGTGCCAAAAACGGTACCTCAGTTTTTAATAGAACGGAGCGTCCTATTTTAATAATTCAAAAAACATTTTACTTGTATTGACAAGATGAAGATTTGATCAAATTTTTATAAGGGCAGGTAAAAAATGATCATTATGCCATTTGGCGGTCAAAAATGATCATTAGACATATGCATATCAAATTGTCAGATATTTTATAGAGATTTTAACAATAAGTATAAATTTTGTTTACATTCCTATGGGTTCCGTACCAATGTTTACCCGTTAGACAGCGACGCGGCGCTTACGCGCTTTATATTTTGTCTCTATGCATTTAAAGCAGTACGATTGCTTTGAAAAAAAGTTCAGATCTTCCAACATATGTCAAAATAAAGAAAACATTTTTTTTTTCAAAAAAAAAGATTTAAAAAAAAAACAAATTTTAATTTTTTTTTTCAATTTTTTTTTCAAAAAAAAGTAATTTTTTGTCAAATTTATAGTTTCTCAAAAATCTTATTTTTTCGAAGTATTTTTTTTTTTCAAAAATGTTAATCGTTTTTAAAAAAAATAATAATTTTTGGTACGGAAAGTTCCAGCAATTTGCCTTAAGGCACGATGCCCTAATTGCCTTAAGACATAATTCCACTTACAGCTAGTTTAAATTTAAATTATAATCCCTACTGGAAAATTTGACATCTACTAGCACGTTGTCAATGAAAGTTGTTGTCAGGGCCTTTTCACTTAGAACAAAATCCTCGTTCAGAAGGAATACTTAGGGGTCCATTTGTAGTCGCAGATTTGGCGCTAGTGAGCCGATGAAAAAGTATTTTCAAATGTTTTATGTTGGTTACTAGAAACGTCAGTGTTATTTTTGTGTAAGTTTACAAAATGGCGATTCTTATTCGTTTGTGGTTGTATATTTGTTAATAAAGATTCATAAGGAATTGCTCTCAAATGCTTAGCCCTTTGACAATATGAATAGAACAGCTTCAAACTCATATGGAGGACATAATTACTACATTACTACGTAGTGCATTGACATATTAGTCTAATCATAATACACTTTAAGGAAAGAGGTCAGGAAATTGTGTAAGAAATCAGTATGCGCTTCTACAAGAAAGACATAATACACAAATAAAAAGCTGTTCCAGCTGTTTAAAATTGGATTACCACTTCACACGGATCTGAATATACTTGGGAGAAAATGAATTGCTTAAGAATGTCAAATTTCGCACGGGATGATTATTAGTTAACGAGAGTTAAGAATGACAGACGATGTAATGAACTAACACTATATGCATTATTCACTAAATTTCAATAAATATTATATTAATAAGTAGAAAAAAGTGTAGACGTTATTCCAGTAGATTAGATGTGATATCTATTATATATAAACCGGTGTATTCCAGTGTATTTGTTGATTTATATTTCGATTTGATTGTATATTTATTATAATATAATATTATCTAGTATATTTTTGTTATTATTGTATTATTACAAAAATAATAGGATTGTAATACCAAATTTAGTTTCAAATACCCGTGCACCTAAAATCATTAATTTTTATTTCAAATTTTGCGCCATTAATTTGAATGCTAAAAGCAGCGCCACCACGTCGAGCGGAGGACCCTTTAAGTATTCCTTCTGAACGTAAAAATCGGGCGAGAGAAGCGTCTATATGAACACGGGGTATTCTAATATTGTCTAGGGTTGTTGTGTTGTTGTAGTTGTATTCGTTGGTGATGGCGCCACAGGTAACAATGGCGTGGTAGGGGTGACGTGTGCCGCTGTCAAAAAATAAATAGAAAATTCAAAATCATGTGTTTATACGCCATGTATAGACAATGCGTCGTTTGGTGTCGAAATGTCTTTTGAAATAGAATTCTAAATATTCTCGGATGCAGTAACGATGTACAAATATCAATAATATTATCTGTATTTTACAAACGCTTTGAACAGCACACCAAATTATAATGTAGGATTTTATCAACATATATTTTATACTATTTATTACAAGTTTATTTCTGGAAGTGCAATTGGTGAGTGATCAGAAATCACTTGGTTTTAATGAGTTACAATGTTTGGATATCAATTACAGGAGTATGATTTGAAACATGAGTTAACAGTTTGTTGTGGAGGCTTAGGAAGTGTGTATGTTGCATATCACAGACCCACCCACAGAAAAGTGGCAATTAAGAAGATACAATTAGATTTAATAGAAGAAGTGAATCTTATACAGCAAGAGATATATATTACTCGTCAATTACAGCATCCAAATATACTATCATATGAAATATCATTTGTAAATGACTTAAATCTATACATCGTTGCCCCTTTGATGATATATGGTTCATGTAGAGATGTTCTAAATTTTTACAATTCTGGTTTTCCTGAAACGGCTATTGCTATTATTTTAAGAGATGTAATTAATGGATTGGACTACGTACATTCAAAAGGATTTATTCATAGAGGTATCAGGGGGAGTCATATGTTGATCAATCATTTAGGAACTGTCTTGTTATCTGGTTTGAGAGGTGTTGGTGAGCTTATTGTACATGGAAAAAGACAACGAGTCCTCCATTCCTTACCTCCACAAGCCAAAGACACACTAAATTGGTTGAGTCCTGAAGTTTTGGAACAAAATATGTTAGGATATAATGAAAAATCTGATATCTACAGTTTGGCAGTCTGTGCGTGCGAGTTAGCTAATGGTGTAGAACCATTTGCTGATATGCCTTGCACATTAATGTTCACAGAAAAAGTACGCGGCTATGCTCCTAAACTCTTGGACAGCATAACTTTATCAGAGTACAGCAATTCAGAATCTAGTGATGATTTGCAAGCAATGTTTTTAAACAGAAAATTTTCTGAATCATTTCATCAATTTGTAGATATGTGCAGTCGCAGAGAGCCTTCTATGCGACCAAAAGCTAGTAGTTTATTGCATCATTCATTTTTCAAAACAATAAAAAGCAGAGATAATTTATTAGAATATTTAAAACCTATTGAGTCTTTGGAGTTTCTTGTTAAAGACAATTGTGATACAATAAATGATTTGAATGTAAGCGCATTAAATATTCAAAATGATGAGAAGTGGATTTTTTAATATTGCCCAAATCTTAATTAATTTTTTGAAACAAGAAACCTATGCCAACTTTTAAATTTTAAACAAACTTATTTGTATATAATTTTAGAAGAGTAACTGATTTATAAATTACTGTAGAACTAAGCAAGCAACTTGTTATTTATTTTGTAAATAATAGTCGTAATTAAATAATTATAAATGCCCAGTGTGAATTATATTTATAGAGTGAGAGTTCATTATAAATTTGCCAGTGTTTCATACCAAATGAAACTGGATGTGTTACATATTCTGGTTCAAATATTATATAGTAGAGAAAAAAAAAATGAATTTGAGCATATTATAATTCAGAAACCTAACTAAATTATGAGTAAACCTTTGTTTTTATTCTGCTCAAAACTAATCTTGTCATATACAACAGCAGTTTAAGCAAAAATAAATATATTGGAATTCGGTCTAATATTATATGTAATATTTCATTATAGATTTGTTTGGACAAATTGTAATTAGGAGCTCTTGTTCTATAATAATAGTTATATTGTATAATAACAAAAAATTATATTATTGTATATTGATTTTTTTTAACACGGAAGGAGATCGGAATACGGAATAAGCTATGTATTGTATATTTTGCTATGTATTTGTTTTTTGTCTCTAAGAATCAACAAGAAAAGTAAATTATTTGTATTTATTAGTTACAAAGAATGAAAAGTTTTATTTTAATAAACTATTTTGTTTTTAATTATAGCTTGTAGACTGAGGACAAAGAGGAGGATGTTTTTATTTAATGCAACATCGAATGTATTTTTACTAGATTTAAATTTGCTGAATAGAATTATGTTTCGAAAGTTACTTGAAGAGCTTTTCCATAAATAATTTCTTTGTTCAAGTTTAAGGCTGTGCTTACAACACCTTTATTATTGTTTTGATATGATATGGTTTCGCTAATTAGGCGGAATTAATTAAAATTCAATACTCTGTAATTCAACGATGATGTTATTAGGCGATATAATTGATACACGTTTTTGTTTATGTATATAAAATCATGACACATTTAATTTAAATTGGAACTAATTTGCTTCATTACTTATAATCATTCCCCTTTCTTATTTCATGCATCGTATGCATTAATTTAGTAGTGACTAGTGGTGCATGGCATCGTGCCTTAAGACAATTGCTGGAACCGTACCAAAAAAAATTAAATTTTTTTTGAACTTTGAAAAAATTAGATTATTGAGAAATTTTAAATTTTTGAAAAAAATGACTTTGGAAAAAAATAACTTACCCTACGGGAAGTTAAATAAGTTATGAATTTTATGATAAAAGATGCTAAAATGCCTAAAGTTTATTTACATGGCAATTTATAAATTTTTGTAATTAAAATTTTACAATTTTTATCTTGAAAAATTACATTAGTATAAATTACAATTCTAACAGTAATTTGTAAAGCAATTATAAAAACAAAAAACGTGTGAAGTTAAATGTGTTAGAAGTTTCTCATATGTTCACGTTGTGTACAATATATTCCATATCTGAATTGATATATTCCATATCTTAGTTATATTCAGTCTAATATATATATAACTGCTTGATTCTATTATATTATATGGTACACCCTTTCATCCCAGACTCATTTAATATATTTGAAATAGCAAATTTGAAAACCGCGGTAAAAATATTGCACTTGCTTTCAAGCAAGTATGTTTTCCACTTCATCTGGCAATACTTTTATTTTTTATTCAACGAGACAGAGCCGTGTCGTTGAGATCCTGTCATTCGCTGGAAAAGTTTTAGACGTAATTAAATTTACAGTTTTACAGAGCAAATTGTTTGTATTGGTTCAAAATGCAAGGACTTTCCTTATCTAGCTTGAAAAGGCACCCTGCCGTATGTATAATTACATGTTTAATAATGTCTAGTTTTTAATATTACATAATGTTATACAAGAATATATTTTAGCTGATTCCTTTATATTTTTTCACCGGGCTTGGTGCCTTCGGAGCTGCTTTTTATGTATTTCGTTTAGCAACAAAGAACCCTGATGTTACATGGAACAGAAAGACCAATCCTGAACCTTGGGAAGCCTATAGGAATAAGCAATACAAGGTTAGTTTAAAGTAAAAATCAGCTTTCATATTAAACTACCTATAATAATAGATAGATCTTATGCAAATGTTTGTATGTGTATATGAGACTACATGTTCAAAATGTGGAAATTAGTATTAGCTACTGCTATGCAGATCAGTTCGAGATACCTTATTTACAACACATACACAAGGTCTAGGGACTCATTTAATACAGAAATTCCACAGCATATAACCCTTAAAAGTGTGTCCTTAAAAATATTAATCTCATTATTGTATGTTACTGTCCAAGATATGCTTTTTTGTTGATATTAGGCTAACTTTTGGTTTGTATATTTTTATTTCAACATACACATATCAATATAGATTATTGGAATTCATGCAATGCTTTGATATTGATGACTCTTGAATTATGGTACGTTATGTTGCCTTCATGGAAATTTAAAATATTTAAGTACTTCAAACTTTTTAGTATTGATATATGTTTTTAAATCTGATTTGCTCCTTACATGTACAACAATAGATATATGGGAAAATTATAAAATATAAAATTGTTCTAATACTTTTCCGTGGTTTCAGTTTTACTCCCCTGTGAGAGATTATTCTAAGGAAGAATGCCCAGCTCCAAAATACTAAATCAAAGTTAGATCCTGAAGACAAGGGTCTATAAAGTAGTGCATACTAATTTAAATAATTCCGAAACATATTCTGTATAAACAAATTAAATAAATGTCTGGATAAATAGTGGTTTGTTATTCTGTGGATAATATTTTAAAGACGAGGGTAAAGTATGATCAACGTTTTTTTTTACAGACATGATAACTACCATAGAAAATTATTATATACAATGCACTTAAGTAAAAAATCAAATTCACAAATTGAACTGATCACAAAAATTAAATTACAAATCACAAACTAAACTATTAGTTTACAGTACGAATATATAAATATTGTATATAAGTACATAAATATTTCTATATGTATATTATGATAATCGGGTTTATTCATAATTCAACATTGTTTGACTTTAGTTTATTTATATGCTTTTTTTTGTTTCATATACATGCATTTTGTTCATTGTTTGTGTTCAATTTAAGTTGTATTATTGTTATAAATTTTCTGTGCGTTAAAATGGAAATTTTTGAAGATTAGTCAAATTTAGACTTACCTTTTCCAAGATTATTTTTAACTTAGTTTTTTTTCTTTTTAACAATTGGATGCATAGCTGTATAGTTTTTTGTATAATGTTTTGTAAATTTCTATCCCAAACCAAGAAATACTCCGGCCTTTTACCAGTCCATGGGCAAGTCTGATGCATGGTGGCAAAAAAAGGGGTATTTAATCAATGTGGAGATTAAAGAGAACTCGATGTGTGCATCATGTGCATAATCGAATCAAATATAAATATATATATATATATATAAAGGTAAGGTGAAATAGGGCTAAAAGGACTTAAAAAAAAAAGAGTGCGGATGATTGATCACTTGCGTGAGAAGAGAAAATACAGGAAGCTGGATTCTGATTATATACACTTCTTTTCCTGAGGAATAGAAGTGTATATAAACATCAATAATATAAATAAAATATAATATAGTATAAAAACAGTAAGAATTATAATGAGAGAAAATCATTTATTCATCTCACATCATATCAGCTCTCATATCATAGAACTGCCTTGGGACAGACAACTTTGACTTTGATTTGAACATCTGTATGCACTGAAGATGAGTCAAATAAATAAATAAAATAAAACAAAATGAATAAATAAATAAATAGACATTTCTTTATAGAATTCTTTTAATTATTGGATGGATATTCAAAAACATTATCATATATACATATATGCGGTGTATATATTAACAAAGGGTAATAATTAGGCATAATATCAACGAAAAATATAAATTTTATTCAAGAGTTTATTCTTATACACTCAACTCAACTCAACTACAATCTACTTCTTCTTATTACAATCTTAGTGGTAAAATCAGAAAATAAGACAATCCATGATATGAGGATATGATAATGCACTGGACTATGTAATATAAACATTAAACTTGTAATTGTAACAATATTTTACAATTATACTCATGGGGAGTTATCTCCATTTATAGAGTTGTGATGATTATACCAATATTAAATCATCACAAAAGAATAAGTGTTATCTGTAAATTACACAAGGAAGGCCAGCCGACCAGGCTCAAAAGGAAAATACCTCGAGATGTAATGTAGTTTATTTATATATATATATATATATATATATATATATATATATATATATATATATATTTAGTATATATATATATATATATATATATATATATATATATATGATTTAGTAGTATATATATATATATATATATATATATATCTTTTTCTCTTTATTTGTCTTTAGTTTTTTCTTTTTTATATATTAACTATAGTAGATACACCACTGGGCGTATCTACTAATTTGTAAACAAACACTTGTCAGCATTCTCTGCTAAATATAATTATTTTTATAGATTGCAGGATGAAAATAAAATAAAAAAAAAGATCTGTAAATTAGTTGTAAATGCATATCATCTATTATACATCTATTACTTGTAAAAACCTAATTTGGTTCGTAAAAATATTTCCAACCTAATCAGCTCAAATTTCCATATTTTCGCCACGTTCTCCCGCTAGGTGCGCCAGTTGTTATGTTTGCGGCTTTGCGCAAATGTGCTAGCGGGTGTCCCGGCAGAGATAACGTACTTGAAACATCTCTGTTTTTTTTTTCTTTAAGTGTATTGTAATCAGCGATTAACGTGTAGATGTCAATTTTGTTACTTTGCGCTTTGCATGGAAGTACAAAAGTGAAGTATTTCTAGTCAGACTATATAGGTCTACCCGGATAATTTAAATTATTCTACGTGGTTATTTAGTTGTAGTTATAACTGAAAATTATTGAAAATGGTGAGTTTTGTACTATTTTCTTACTTAGATATAATTAACCTCAAAAATGTTCTATCTGGAAAACAATCTCATTTTTATATAGAGATAGCTACCAATAAATGTGTAATATATTAACTTGTTACTATACTTGAAGTTCGTTTTTTGCATGTTATTTAGGTGGATTTCCATAATATTTATAATCATAAAATTAATTGATTGTTTAATTGGTAGTTACCCAAACAAATCTTGAGTAAAACAATATCGTTATATTTTCAAAGACTCATCATATCTATGAAAATTGTATCCAAACTAAACTACATAAGACTTAAAAGTAAAGCTAAATTACTAAAATTTCTACATGTATTTTAAATAACTTATATTATAAATTATGATTGTAATTTAATTCTTTACGAATATCAGGATTCTTTTTAATGACATTCTTTGCTATAGCAGTATATATATATATATATATATATATATATATATATATATATATATGAAGTATGTGAGTTTCGTGTTGATATATATTTTGATGAGTTATTTAGAATCGGGCAGTAACACCAAGTAAAAAAAAAAAACTAAAGTAGTTTTGAAATACTTTATTAATTTATTAATTAATTATCCTACATTTCGAAAATAATTTATTTAAAAGAAGGTTTAGCGAAGGATGCCTAATATCTTTACACAACGACAGGGCCATAAATAAAAGATTGGACAACAATTTGCTTTGCAATGACTATAAAATAATCCTTGACCATTTCCAAAACACCACCATATCTGAATGAAGCGTGTATTTTATCTTTTTATTATTTTACAAAAAACATATGTTTACCAGTCTTTTTACACTTTCGCCAAATTTGTAAACACAATTCATTCAGTTTTTAGACGTTAGTCAATCTGTACACACTAGAATGTAACCAAAAAATTGTCAAAAAAATAATTAGTTTAAATGTTCCAGTTATTAATAGCTTGGTTTATCACAGTATAATAGTGTAGTGTATTTTTGTATAATTAATTTTGTAAGTATTTATATATAAGTGCTATAACTTCATATTATTTTCCTCCTACATCATATAAAATCTTTTAGTTTTCCACTGAATGACGGTCTCGATGAAGACCGAAACGTATGGATAAATAAAGTATTTCAAAACTACTTTAGTTTTTTTTTTACTTGGTGTTACTGCCCGATTCTAAATAACTCATCAATATATATATATATATATACACATGCCATATCAAAAACTATTTTTGTTCGTACTTACGTTATATTTTTATTTGTTGAATTTTATCCTTTATATTTACATATTTGTATTTATTGTAATAATGTATTTTAGATTTGATGAATGATGATACACATTAAGTGTGAAACGTATAATTGAATAAAGAATTGGAATTTTATTATATATATACTTAACAACTTTCAGTTTTTTTTACTCGAGTTTGTGTGCACAACTAAATACATATTCCTACATAATTTTGAATATATATATATATATATATATATATATATATATATATTATTCCACATTTTATTTATTTATATTATTTATTTTATTTTTGCAAAACATATCAGGATTCTCATTAATAATTACAATTTTTGCTACATTAACATATGTTATATATATGCCATATCTAAAACTATTTTTGTTCATACTTATGTTAAATTTCTATTTGTTAAGTTTTATCCTTCATATTTATATATTTATATATATTGCAATAATGTATTTTAGGTTGATGAATGATGACACATTACACAAAATTGATGACACATAAAGTGTGAAACGTATAATTAAATAAAGTATTGGAATTTTATCATATATATATATATATATATATACATGGTCTGTTCAAAAAGTACCCGGAATTACTAATAATTAAATTTCGCGGGTCTGGAGTGTCTGATTGTCAAAATTTTTTTTTTATTGTGTTGGTATACATGCCCCTAAAGTATGATGAAATTTTCAGCTATATTCACTGTTTACTTTGTCTGTGGTAGTCGCTAAGGTTCGACGTGTTTTTCTGAGCTCGGCGATTTTTACAATGGAAGAATTGAAAAAGTCAAAGAATTTGTATTAAATTTTGCGTAAAAAATGAAATAAAGTGTTGCAAAGTGCAAAAATTCACCAGATATGGCTCCGTGTGACTTTTTCCTATTCCCAAAGTTGAAGAGACCCATGAAAGGACGGCGGTTTTCCTCGATTGAAGAAAATCGCCGAGAGTGCTCAAGGACATATCAAAAAGTGAATATCAAGGGTGCTTCGAAAATTGGAAAAAACGCTGGCATAAGTGTATTATATCTGGGGGGGACTACTTTGAAGGGGACCACATTAATGTAGACGAATAAATAAATATTTTTTTGAAAAAACGAAAATTACGAAAACTTTTTGAACAGACCTCGTATAAACTTCACCGCTTTAAGTTTGTTTTTACTCGATTTTGTGCACACATCTAAATACATATTTCTAGAAAATTTCAATTACACACACACACATATATATGTATATATATATATGTATATATATATATATATATATATATATATATATATATATATCAACACATTTTATTTTTAGGATGTCTTTCTTATGATACGAAGAAAAAAACTTACAATTTTTACTGATTGTAAAGATACTACGTCTGTCTATGAACTGAAAAAGATTATTGAAGGTAAATTCTAATTATTTTTATGCAACAATAATCTTAAATAACTATATAATAATTTTAAGTTGCAAAAATAAAATATTTTATTATCACTTTTTGTGGTGATATATTTTTGAATATCACCACAAAATATATATTTACATGTCATCAAAGTGAATAAAATATTTGTGCATCTTAAATTGTATTAATACTAGTTGGTATTTATTAAACATAATTAAAAACGAACGGACACGTTAACTCGGGGTATTTTCTGAGAGCAAATTTTCACAAATCAATAATTTTTATAATTGAACCAGTTTCCATAGGACTTTCATGGTTTAGTATGTTCATCAAGACCAAGTACTCTATCGTTATGCCAAGTAAATCGTCTAATTTTAATTTTAACAAACGTAAAAAGAATTTTAATTTCTGATGAATTTTTAAAATTAAACTACTTGCCGTAAGGCCGTAATATTTCAGTAAGTTCTATAAGACCATAATATATATCGCCAAAAAAGTTTCATAAAAATCGGCGTAAATTGTTTTTCAACAATTAATTACAAGAAAACGGCTCGGTAGATTTTCACTTAAAACTAATCAGTATCATTCTCAACTAATATCTTACGAACAGGTTTTTATTTTTTGAAATCGGTTGGGTAGGATGAGCTTAAATGTGGACGAAAAGTTTAACACTTTTTTCCAGATTACAAAGAAACGGCTCGGCAGATCGTAGCGCAAATCTGACAAACGATAGTCCTCAACGAGATACATCGAATGGCTTTTAAATTTTTGAAATCGGTCCAGCCGTTTTTGAGAAAACGTCGATTTACGGTAAAAAATCTGTTCGCAAATACACATATACTTTTTCCAAATTTGGTCTCATTCGATTCAGAATGGCTTGAAACGTCGAGAAAACATAAAATTAGCGAATCGGATTTTTTGATGACAACATAAACTTCTCCTTCGGGAAGTTAATTATCAAAAATTTTGTGAAGAATTCATTAATTGTTTTTTTTTATAATATTTATTAAATTTTAAAGTTGAATAATTGTTGTAAAATCAAATTATAAACAAAGTGTACTGGAATTAACTATTTTACTTGTTTTAATTGAACTTTTGTTTTGTTGACCAGTTATTTTTAATTTAATTTTATTAATTTACTATTTAAATTAAAATGTTTGAAAATTGATATATTTTTGTATATTAATTATTTACTGAGCATTCTGTTAGGTATTTTGAAAGTGGCACCCGCAAATCAATTATTATTCAATAAGGATAACCAGCAAATGAACGATGATGTTATGCTTCAGGATTATGGATTAAATTCAGCTACTGCTAAAGCTCAATCACCGGCACCCATTGGTCTTGCTCTGAGGTAAATTTTAATGAGAAACATGTAGATATTTTTTCTTGTTTCATTCAGTATAGTAGATAAAGCATTGCACGGTAAATTATTTTTTATTATTAATAAATACAATTGCTTAATTATAGGCTTGAAAATGGCGAGTTTGAAACATTAGATATGACTCCATTTTCCGCACCACCCGATTTGCCAGATGTTATGAAATCTCAAGATAGTAATGGCCAGGAACAGGTTTTTAAACATCCCAGGGACTTGAACAGTCAAAACGCTATTTGAGTTGGGAACACAGGTAGAACAATACACGTCGACATTATATGTTTTGGGTTTTTACTAAAAATGTTTCTCTTAATTAATGAAGGTTAACAATTTTCATTTAGATAGGTTATATTCTAATCTTTCTAATTTAAATCATTTCACATTTTTTAGTTAAAAAATATTTTTGAGTATTTTTTATATTTCTGCAAAATATTTTCATATGCAACTTATTTCGTAAGAATGATTTATGGCACTTTATCTATCCTAATACAGATGGATCGAATCTGTTCTACCTAACTTAGTTTTCGGGCATTTTTCAGGGGTGTTAGATAAACGCGGATTTAAACGATTGTAACTACAATCAATCTTTATTAAATCAAATATATATTTTTTAATAACAATAGACAGATTGTACTATAAATAATAGTATAAAAAAAGCTTAAATAAGCCTATGCAACTTATTAAAAATGTATGCAAAAAAACGTAAATCTATGTGGACCTATAAAATGTAAGTCTGTATGTGCTAGGTAATTGGAATACAAGCACATAAGTCTACGGGGCCTGTCTGTCAGTGTTAATTTATAGTTTCATATCCTTTGCGGAAGGTCTGCTTATTTGCAACTTGTTTTTAGTATCAGCACTCTCAGTATAAACTGTATTGAAGCTTACACATGTGATCGTCATTAAAGAGGTTGCATATGACATGTTAATTGGCATATAATTGCATATAACTTATGAGGAATATTTTGTTCGTTGCATTAGCTTGACTTATCCTTTTTTGTAGATTTACTTCTCAGACAAATTTTGGATTGGCCAACTTTGAACTTTAAACTCTACCAAAAAGGTGCTCCTTATTACAATTACAATCTGTGCCAAAGCCAATCAAATGAATCAATTACATTGATTAATACATTAAGTAATTGAAGTCATGATATATGCAAAAGTCTAGGCTGTAGCAAAGTAATGGATTTTAATATAAGGAGTCAATACATAATTGAACAAAACTAATCTATTTATTTACTTATTGTAGCTATATTTTTTTATTTTGTGCTTTGCATATTTAAATAACTGAGAAGTATATATGTTTTCTTGATCGGAAAGTTAATACAAATTACATTTTGTTATTATTTAGTTTGTGATTTTTACTATTATTTGATAGCAATAAATTTTTTTACATACATATAGTTAAATTTTAACATATGTGTGTTACAGAGTGCATACATATTTGATAGGATAATATGTATGGACTAAAAATAAATTTTAGTACAATAAAAACATAATAATTTTAGTACATTTGTATTTCACATCATTTTTCTTTTAAATATTTTTAACTGTATATTTTTCCAATCTGTACAGATTTTTGAATATATATTTTGAGCTATATTTTTCATGTCTATATAACTGTTTATCAGCTATTAATCTAAATATTTGTGAATATATATATATATATATATATATATATATATATATGTATGTATATATATATGTATGTATATATATATGTATGTATATGTATATATGCATGTATACCTATATCCCCCATTTTACATGGAAGATAGGTTCCACAAAAAACCATGTTGAACAAAAATCACTATTAAAATGCTCTAAAATGATAAATAACAAGCACATTGAACGAAAATTAAATATTGATATATTTAATATCAAACACCTTTCATAAATTATTAAAACTAATAAAATAAAATTTAGTTTTGATCATAAAACGGGGAGTTTCCATCTTATCTACGTATTTTCATCATAGACATAGATTATTAGGAACTCTTAATTGTAACATACATTTTGTATTGTCGTATTTTGACAGTAAAACAATGAAAATGTTATTCTAGATATAAGAGTGCGAAATTTATGAATACCATTAAAAATACATTATCTTCAAAAACAGTGTAAAATCGAAAACATGTAAAATGGGGGATAGGTGTGTATATGTATATATATGCCTTTGTATATGTATATGCGTTTGTATATATATATATATATATATATATATATATATATATATATATATATATATGAGCAAGTTCAACATCAAAATTAACTACTAAATCATATATATATGTATGTATTTGTGAATTGTTATGTATATATATATATATATGTATATATATATATATGTATATATATATATATGTATATATATATGTATATGTTTATATATATATATATGTATATGTATATGGATGCTGTTAAACATAGTTTCGTGTAATTGATTTTAGACGCATATAAAACCCTTCACAAAAATGGTTAAAGATGAAGTACAGGACTGGCATATAAGTGCTGCTCTTATTGAATGTGACACATTAATAACTTGCTTAAAAGTGACTAAAAAAGAGTATAATGAAATAAAATATTTTATTACCATTTAATTTTATTTGTTGCACATAATTTATTCTGTGATTGTTGTTAACTTATAATTGAAAAAGAATAAAACAATGCACTTTGTAGTAATATCCGACTTTATTAAGCATTTTTGCACAATGAAGTACATATTCCCTGAGATATATGTTACAGTTTCATTCGATATTATACATGATCACTATGTTATATAATATATCTATTTTACTAAAAGAATAAGAACAGATTTGTTTTCAGATAAAAAAAATTGTTTTATATTGTGAAAACAATGAACTCAAATGATACAAGATTTTATTAAGTTATTTTATATATATATATATATATATATATATATATATATGTATGTATGTATCTATATTTTTCTTAAACATACGAAAATCAATTTTTAGGTTCAATGCTGTAAAATTAAAAATTATATTTTACATATTCACGTTAATATGACTTATTTACAGTTTCTTTTATATAAAAAATTATATTAGATACCATTGAAAAAAATTATAAATTTCTGTCTCCTTTTAAATATCAGAAAATATAGTCCGTATATAGAAATCAGAGGCAAACAATACAAGATGATCATGTTTGAAATAATTTATTCAAGACTGAATATATAATTAAAGGAATTTAATATTATACTGTAGCATTGATTGAGGGCAGTTTTCTATTTATATTCATTATTACTTTCAACTTCATTTTGTGTATTAATAAAATCCAATTGTGGAGTTCATAACTAAAATAAAAATATTTGGACTAGCAAATTCATTTATTGAGCTCCAACAATGATAGAAATCAATATAATTTTCAATTAAAATTTCTCTATTTTACAAAATTTGAATTACATGTTATCAGTTAAATTAGTTAATTATTTTATATTATCTAACACTTAAAATCTAGGAGTATTAATAAATTATATAAATTCGTAGATCAGGAACATTTATTTATTTCATTTATTTTTTATATATTACTAAATACATACATAAACATATGTATATATACATACATTCATACACACACATATATATATATATATATATATTATTTATATAAATATATATATATTTATATATATTTATATATATATATATATATATATATATATATATATATATATATATATATATGAATGTAATGACGTACTATTTTTACGTAGATATATAAATATTTCAAAATTTGTTTTTATATATTTACAGGTATAATCTATAAAAGTATTTTTACACTAATTTAGGGCCACTGCATTCAATTTTTCTCTAGCTATAATAAAACTGTTTATATGGGTATCGTCTCATTGTGAACATATATTTTGTTATACCATATTAAGCTTAGTTCTTTGCATTGAATGAATGGTTTTATTTTTAATACATTATCTTTGGTAATACCAGTTTCAATCAATTATTAGTAGTAGAGAAAGCTGTAAATATTTAATTAATTACTAATAATAATAGTCAAACTAATCGGAATCTTTTCTGTTACAAGAAAAGTTGGTAGTAAAATGAGTAAGAATATTGAGTACAAGATCAATATATAAATATATTTTTTAACTAATGTAGGTTCAGCATTGAAAAAACAAAGACTTGAATTACGTTTAAAATGCCAGTGTTCTTATATTATATATATATATATATATATATATATATATATATATATATATATAAGGCTTGCAACGAATAGTTCATTTGGCATAATGCCGAATACCGAATATTCGGCTTGGTCCACAGACCGAATACCGAATATTCAGCAACTATTCGGCAGCTTTTTGGCGCCTAAACTCGTTTGTATTAATGTAATTACTATCAGTAGTTGTTATATTAATAACGCGCTACATGCTTATTCCAGTTTTATGCCGAGGCTTGCAACCACTATTCGGTTACTCTTTGTTATTTGGAATATTTGGCACCATTAATACTGAAGAATATCGAATACTTGAATACTATATGTGATAGAAAAAATTACTAAATAGTAATTTACTATTTGGTGTTCGGCCGAATATTAAAAAAGGTGCCGAATACGCCGAATACCGAATAGTAACCGAATATTCGGTGCAAGCCTATATATATATATATATATATATATATATATATATATATATATATATATATATATCATACATCGAATTCAAAGTGAAATTATAAATGTATGAATGTATTTTAAGTATAATATGTTACATATTGATTTAAGAATTTCAAATAATGAGATTGAACCTATATAATATGATTAAACTTTCCAGTATTATTGTAGTAGTCCTGGTGTATCTAGGTGAGGGCTACCCGACAAAACAGTTCTGATAATTTTTCATAAAGTTTTCTTAATTCGTGTCTCTACTATTTTCACTGCTTCCCGTTTGTGGTAGATCGATGTTTGCAACCGTAGATCCAACGGTAGTAATCGAATTTTCTTGACCAGCAGAAGTGGTAGTAGCCGGTATTAATCCGTCTTTAATGCGCTTCTTCTGCTTCATTCTTCTATTTTGGAACCAGATTTTGACTTGCGTTTCATTTAGTTGGAGTGCAGATGCGATTTCTATGCGTCGGGCGCGGGTTAAATACTTGTTGAAATGGAATTCCTTTTCCAATTCGGTGAGCTGTTTGTTGCTAAAATTCGTTCTCCCTGTATTTCCTAAGACATGTTGCGATTGTTGCTGTTGTTGATGCAAAGCAGCAGCAACGTTGTGCGTAGCACCTCGTGAATATCCTAGTCTACAAGCCGAAATAACATCCCCTGGAGAAACCCCAACAGACGATAGACAAGACGGGCCACCTCCGGCTGCAGTCACTGTCCCGATCTGGTTTCCTCCGGCTGCATTTATGAACTCGGACAGTTGGTTTGACGTCAATTTTGGCGCTGTAATAATATTTTTAATTAATAATTAAATTGTAAAGCATAAAATATTATATTTATGTAAATAGTGATCAATACTATTATGAAAAAAATTAGAAAATAAACAACAAATTATCTTAAGTTGTTTAAAAACCATTTGCTTTTAACTTTGGTTAGAATGTGATAATTTTGCGAATATTGTGGGTAATTAACTTCCCGCAGGGTAGTTATAGTAATGGGCCGAAATTCGAAAATAAAATTTTTTGCATTCCTCCACATTTTGAAGGTTTCTGAACATTTTGGCATACCTCAGAAAAAATCAATGTGTGTGTGTGTGGGTTTTGTATGTCCACATTTTTTCGTTCACGTTTTCGGGCGCACGGATCAACTGATTTAAATGGTTTAAAAAACATTCGATTCCTATTGATAGGAAGATGTGCTGATTAGTTTTTGGCAAAGGCAGGTTTAGCCGTTACGAAGATAAAAAGCAAAGAGTGCAGAAAATAGAAATCGAGTTTTTGAGAGAACGGAGCATCAGATTTGAATGATCTAAAAAACATTCAATTTGTAATGATTGGGAGAAGTGGTGATTAGTTTTTGGCAAAGGCAGGTCCAGCCTGTTTTAAAGATACCGAGATAAATATACAAAAAATGGCAGTTTTTGACAGAAATAAGCATCCGATATAATTTAATTATGCTTGTGTTGACGAAACAATTGCTTTTGGAAGAAAAAAAAAATAATTTTTACTGAAGTGTGTTTGCAAGTTCAATCAAAAGTTAATGCATTTAATCAGGATTGTAAAGAGATAGAATACTTAATTGTTTCAAATAAAAAAAATATCGAGTAAAAAAATTAAAACCTGAACCTAAGTCGATAACGGTTAACGCATTTCGCTCACATTCAGTTCTGCATTGGAGCTTGCGCGCATAACAAATATTTGAACTAATTGTGGGTAAAATGGACTAGAAAACATTATCTTTTTTTTACTCGAATTTTGTTATGAAATTATCAAGTATTTTACCATTCACGAAATTAGCTTTTATAAAAAAAATCCATAAAATTAAATAATTGCTTTTATTAGTATTGCTGTATCCAATTTGACTATTAGTAATGATTCGATGCAAACTGAAACACCAGATAACAGAAAACAAATATCAAACAAAAAATTATTTATATAGCTATATATAAAACGCTATCGCACGGATAAATTATATATTATGCGGTTTAAATCGTTTGATTGCCTATTGAAAATAGAATACTTTATTACGAATTAATTTCTAATCGTTCATGTTAAATAATATAACTTTATTGTTGGAAATGGACGTTTAAATGTAAAGAAAAGTTTTCTTTGATCTAACAATAAGAAGAACAAGTTGAAGAATGTGAATCTGTCAGACAAGTATCGCAAATTAAATTAGAAGCCGGAAGACGAATGAGCGACCTAGGACGCGGCGTAGCCGAGTTTGTTTGTTCTTGGCTAATTCGACCAGTGATGTCTTTGCCCTATCCATTAATACTTATGGTCTTCTGTTTTGCACGTTTATTTTTGGCTAATTCACTTTGGCGTTAAATGCAACTCATTCAGATTCAGTTTATAGTTGTTTTATTTTTAATTCGAATATATTATTTGTATTCTTTTATAACACCGTATATTCCACGATTGAATAATATTTTAAGAAATAGTACTGTTTTTTGCCTTAATTAAGCATACTTAAAATAATGTATACCCAAATTAGTCAACTACATAGATCAGCATGTTGTGAATGATATAATATGTATGACTCGGTCGATGAATTTTAGTTCTGATTTTTCAATAGGGCAGAGTGGGGCTTAAAAATCTGTGGGTCGACTACCGATATCTCAAAAACAAGTTAAGTTAAGAGATTTTGAAAGTAGAGTAAAAAAGATGTATAACCAGCCATCACCTCAATTTTTACTACGTTGATAGATAAACGGCAGTGTTTGAAAATCCATAACAAAAGTACTTTCTTTCGTTGTGAGCACTGTTAGTTTACGAGACCTTAATATAACTTTTAAGTATATGTTATTTATTTGATTTATAAGATGTTTTGTTAATTTTAAGTTAATTCAACAGTTTTTGTTTATATAGCCTCTATAAAAGCTTACACCTCGGTGGTGTTTAAAGGACCGATTGAACTTCACCCTGGCAAAGGTGTAAACAATAAAAAATATTAAATAACAAATTAAGTTAAATTAACAAAAAACATTTTAAAGAGATAAATAAATATAGTTATTCCTGTGTCGATGAATATTTCGGACGAAATACCAGACTAAGGTATAACCATGATCTGATTGGTAATGGTACATTTTTTCAGATTAATATGATATACAGTATATAATATACAAAGTATGAATATACAGTGTTATCTCTGAAAAATGTACCATTGAATTTTAGATTTTGTATTGGTTGAGTAATGTGCCTATTATTTCGTAAGATCTCTTTGAAATTAAATTAAGATATTGGACCTGTTTGCCCTATGGCCGTCGTATGGGGTAAAAGGCTCCTGGCAAAGTTTTTGAAAAACACAAAAATCACATTTTTACAATGAGATAATGACTGGGAGTTACTGAACATACTCAGAACATAGTCAGATAGATGTTTGTTCGATATGTGTTATTTGTTGTGAGATAATTGGTTTGGTTTTCACTATGTATTTGCCGAAAGTTAAATTGGACTTTTGTGCCCCGCTGTACTTTATAATAAATTGCACTGCTGGCGAATGTTTTCAGTTGTTTTCATACATCATAGTTTAAAATTTATTTCTTGCGGTTATATTTGGATTTTTAGTGATTTATTATAATTCAGTAATTATAATTCTGATTTATTATAATTCAGTAAGTTCAATATTGAACTGCTGGTGAACTTTTATTCTCATTTTAATAGAACTTCTGGTAAATATTTTTAGGTTTTTTCATACATGTTTTCGATTAAATCGACAATGGTTTGTAGTGTAAATGATGTTTTTTTTTCAAAAAAAAAAAAAATCAACAAGATCTGTATCAATTCCGGATTTTTAATTACCACACACATAATTATGATATCTGTTTTCTGATGACCAGTTCCTGCTCCTACATAATCTGTTTCTCCTGTATCAGTTGAGCTCCCATATGTCACAAGTCAGTATTATTATATATATTGCAGATTTATACTAATGTGCAATACGTGTAGGCCTCAATGGTATCTACCCGAAGGATAATGTTATTAAGTCAATGTAGTTGTCGAAAGGGTACGGCAGCGTTTATTGAACACGTGTTCCCTTCCATGTTCTCAATCTGCCGGATGTATGTTCTTGCATGACCCTTTCGGAATGTTCAGGACTTTTTATCTTAGATTGAGATTTGCGCACCGTGCGTGAAAAGGTTAAAAGTTGGTTGTCAGTTTGTTTATGTATTTAAATATCGTATCAGATGACATATGCTTCCATGTGAAAATATTACTAATTTACATGTAATACAAAAATTGCAATAATAAATTCATTAAATACAGATAGAGCAACCGTTGGGTTGCCTTGTGAAAAAGTGATGTAATTAAGTGAAACCATCGCAGTAGCTTATAGGACCTTACGTTGTGATAGCTGTTCAAATAAAAAAAATGTATCAGAAGTTTTTAGTATAATATTGGTGCATTGTGAAGTAATTCGTTAGCAATTGTACTGAATTAGAATAAAATTTTGAACATTGACTAATTTTAAAGGTATTGCGGCAATAACAAATTTCCGGAACCTTTTTTTCACTTTGAAGAAGTTGAAGATTGTAAAAATTTGTGAATTTTTATAAATTTTGAACAAGTTTTTGCAATCTTCGATAAAAGGTGAAAGTTTTTTTGCTAAAAGATTGGTTTATTCCACTGATTCACAAACTCACATAATTTTCAACTATCTTTTTCCTGAATCCGAAGGTTTTTTAAATTTACCTAAAATACTAATGCCTTGAAATTTTAACTCAAAAAGATACTAATATTTATAACACATAACTAAAATAATTAATTTTCAACTTATACAAGTTAATTTTACTTCTCTTGATTTATGAGTTTTCTGCAATAAATTATTTTAGTGCTAACAATTAATCATTTGATAGTATTTCATATTTAAGACTTTCTGGAGCTTCTCTGATAGTTTTGTAATTAATTTAAAATACATCATAGCATCAAGATTAATTTTGCAGCAAAATATTTATTTAATTGGTGATGTTGAGACTCAAATTATTATCTTGATTCCATGATGAATAGATATTATAGAACAGCCCACATGGATTTAAAGAATTTAAGTGGTTTACAAATATTCTTATGTATCATAATATTTGAGTGGCGCACAGATGGCGCACGAATTTACTTAATGACACATCTTAGTAACAAATATCTGAAACTTTTAATTATTGTGCGCTCAATCCAAATGTTTATATAAAGAGCTAATACTATTAGAGAATCGTTTTTCATTGATTTGGAAGCAGTTGCGTCTTTGGGAGCAAAGAAATTCGAAAATGTCCTCGAAAGGACCACCCTAATATATATATATACATATATATATATATTTATATTTATATGAATATATATATATATATATATATAAATAAATATTAATATATAAATTATTATATATATACAACGTAAATCAGACATTTTAACGTGTGCTTGCCAAGAATTCATTTTTGGATTCCAAAATACTCTTTCCAATGCCCTTTTCCAGTAAGTCCGAAATGGCTCTTACTTTTATAATGATGGACCCTGCTCATTAAAAATGCAAATTCAATGTTTTTATAACAAGTTGAATTTTTTGCACTATTTTTTATATTTTAGTGACGAAAAATAGACATAATGATTATGAAATGTGTCCAAATTATTTCTGAAAGCATTGGCAATTGTTAAGATTGGGTTTTAATTTCTCATCATGAAATAATGTTAAACAAAATTCCTAAAACTTTGTATAATTAATTTAAATTTATAGCAATACTAAAACAGAAATAAGTGAAAACATTTACTAACACATACACTATATTGTGTCTC